CAGTAATTGAACTAAGTAGGAACATAACCTCAGCACGCAACATCCACTGAAACAGCAAAGAAAGTTAGCACTAAGTCAGCTCCATTTATGACAGAAGTAATGAAATCATTCCCTGGCTCTGCCAGTTCCCAAGTCATACAAGCAGCTGCACATGACATCCAGTTAGCTCTACAAATGTGCAGCAGACTAAACAAACATATATTAAAACAAGAATAACATAATGTTACCATGGACAAGCTTTAATATATAATGTAACAGGAACACAATTCCACAGTCTTAGAACAAAAAGAACAGACCTGGAGCAAATGTAACACAAGTTGTGGTTGATAATTCCCTCCACTCCCGCAATACATACGTTAAAAGAGCTACAGTTCCTCCACCCAATGAGTGTCCAACAATCTATAAATATCCACAAAAGTTAATTTCAATATTACTCACGGGCAATAAAATCACATCAAATGTGAAATTAAGAGGTTCTGAAGCATGATTATACTTTTGTACAAATTATACCAACATCAATAGAATTATAGAGGTATTTGGATTCTGCACACATTGAGAGATGCTAAGAAATCAACAACCACTTTTCACGCCAATCAATGAAACATTGCAGTGATCACAACAAGAATACATGAAAAGACAGTGCAAACTTGACTATTTTTGGAGCAAAAACATTTCTTCTATAGGACAAACCTTTATTATATTCACCCTGAGCTGAATACTCCATTCTACCTTTATCATTTCTTCTTTCTTTTACTCTGTACCTTCTTCATTAATTTAACTTATTTACAGTAAATAGGCTTCTTCAGTAAAAATTTACAACGTAATCCACAATAACCAATGATTTGTACTAGGGGTGAGCAGTTCCAGGTACCGTGTATTTTTCGGAGGAACCGGAATCAGAACCAGAACCACATAATACAGGTTCCCAAAAAAAGAAACCAAAACTGCACAGTGCAAGTTCTTAAATTCAAGGAACTAGAACCTAAAATGCAGGTTCGGGTTCCTTTCCCAGATACCCTGTAAAAAATCAATTACCCCCTATTAGTTAAAAAAATGACAAAAATACCTTAAAAGTTTACAAATACACCCCTAAAAAATTTTGATTACTCATTCATTTGTGTCCAGTGTAACTCATAAATCCTCTAATCTCTATGCAACACTTGAATTCAATCAATTCATCACAATTCACATAAAATTCCCCAATCAAAACCAAAACACAAACAATTATTCATCACAATTCACATCAAATAACTTCACCAAAATCATTCAAATAAACAACAATATAAAAAGTTAGAAACTGCCACCAACTTCTTTGATTCTCCCACTACTAAATAATAATGTAGTAAATTTAATGTTATAAATTATTAATGTTTATAATGTAATATAGTAACGTTGTAATTAATTAAGTAATTATTTAATTATAATGTAATTTTATAATTAATTAATTAATCATACTATACATTTATAATATAATGTTATAATTAATTAAATTTCTAATTATTTAATTAAATATTTTACTAATGTTTTTAATGTAATGTTATAATTAATTAAGTAATCATACTATAAATTTATAATATAATTTTACAATTAATCAGATTTTTTAACCATTTAATTAAGTAATGTATTAATGACTAATGTAGTAAAATAATAATGTTTATAATGTAATGTTTTAAATTTATAATTAATTAAATAATCATTTAAATGTGTAATGTTATACATAATTAAGTGATCATACTAAAATGTAATATTATAATTAATTAAGTAATTATTTACAAATAATATAATGTTATAATCAATTAAATTTCTAATCATTTAATTAATTACTAATGTTTAATGTTTATAATATAATGTCATAATTAATTAAATAATAATTTAATTATATAATGTATAATTAATTAAGTGATCACACTACAATGTAAATTGTAATGTTATAATTAATTAAGTAATCATACTATAAATTTATAATGTAATGTTATAATTAATTAAAATTCTAATAATTTAATTAAGTAATCATTTAATTATGTAATGTTATAATTAATTATGTGATCATACTATAATGTAATGTTATAATGAATTAAGTACTCATACTATAAATCTATAATTTAATATTATAATTAATTAAATTTCTAATCATTTAATTAATGTACTAATGTTTATAGTGGAATGTTATGATTGATTAAGTAATCATACTATAAATTTATAATGTAATGTTATAATTAATTAAATTTTTAATCATTTAATTAAATAATGTAATAATGTAAAAAATTGTTAATGTTTATAATGTAATGTATAAATTTATAACTAATTAAGTAATCATTTAACTATGTAATGCTATAATTAATTAAATGATCATAATATAATGTAATGTAATAATGTTATAATTAATTACGTAATAATTTAATTAAGTAATTATTTGTTTATAAAGTAATGTTACAATTAATTAGGTTGTACTATAAATTTATAATATAATGTTAATATGTTATAATTAATTAAATTTCTAATCATTTAATTAAGTATTGTGCTAATATTAATTACGTAATAATTTAATTAAGTAATCATTTGTTTATAATGTAATGTTACAATTAATTAGGTTGTACTATAAATTTATAATATAATGTTAATATGTTATAATTAATTAAATTTCTAATCATTTAATTAAGTATTGTGCTAAATGTGTTATGTAGTAAATTACTAATATTTATAATATAATGTCATAATCAATTAAGTAATCAGTTAATTAGTAATGTTATAATTAATTATGTAATACTGTAATGTAATTATAATGAATTAAGTAATCATATTATAGATCTATAATTTAATATGTAATTTAAATTTCTACATCTTAATTAATATATAAGTTTATAATAGAATGTTATAATTGATTAAGTATCATACTATAAATCTATAATGTAATATTATAATTAATTAAATTTTTAATCATTTAATTAAGTAATGTAATAATGTTAGTAAATTATTAATGTTTAAATCTAATGTTATAAATTTATACTAATTAAGTAATAATTTAACTATGTAAGCTATAATAATTAAGTGATTAATATAATGTAATGTAATAATGTTATAATTTAATTAAGTAATTATTAACTATAATGTAATACTAATTAATTAAATTTCTAATCATTTAATTAAGTAATCATTTGTTTTATGTAATTTTATAATTAATGTTTATAATATAAGTCGTAATTAATTAAATAATCATCTAATTATTAATCACTATAATGAATTAAGTAATCATACTATAAATCTTTAATATAATATTATAATTATTTGTGTAAAAATGTTATAATTAATTAAATAATTATTTAATTATAATGTATTTTACAATTAATTAAGTAATCGTACTAATATTTATAATGTAATGTTAATTAATTAAATTTCTAACATTAATTAAATATTGTGTTAATTTTATGTAGTATTAGTAATTACTAATATTATAATATAATGTCATATTCATTAAGTAATCTTTAATTATGTAATTTTATAATTATTAGTGATATAATGTATGTTATGTGAATTAGTAATCTACTAAATTTCTTATGTAATATTATATTAATTAAATTTTAATCATTTAATTGTATTGTATTAATGTTTATAATAAAATGTTAAATTGATTAAGTAATTATACTATAAATCTATAATGATGCTATAATTATTAAATTTCTATTATTTAATTAAGTAATATACTAAATGTTATAAGTCAATTAATTAAGTATAATCAATTAACGTAATGCTATAATTAATTAGACTATAAATCAATTAAGTAATGTTATAAAATTATAATTAATTAAGTAATCATTTAACTATAATGTAATGTTATAATTGATTAAGTATGAATTTAACTAGTAATTAAATTTATTAATGTTTATCAATTTATCATATATAATTAATTAATTGCTATTTACTATAGATATCTTAGAACTTGATAATTGAAGTAAATACTAAATATATATTATTCAATTAAAATACTATTTTATTCAAAAATAATTATTTTAATAACATTAAATACTTTTTATTGGATCATAATTCTAATTATACACTTAATTAATCAAAAACTTTATATTAATATATTAAAGTTTTTAATATGGTGTAGTTTTAATGTAATAAGTATATTATATATTTATTTAATTAGGTTATTCAAAAAATTTAATTTTTTCTATTTTAAATTTTTATATGTAAAATAATAGAAACCCCCCATTATTCACAAATATTTCATTGCAACCTAGCTTCTAAAACAGGTTCCAAATAGGTTCCAAACAGGTTCTAAACCGAGTATCCGCTACAAGTTCCAAGCAGGTTCCAAACTGGGTACCCGTTTCAGGTTCTTTTTACAGGTTTCGTTCCGGTTCCCCACACATAAGAACTGGAACCTAACCGCACATACCGTTTCGGGGTAGATTTCGGTTCCGGTTTTACCCGTTCCCTATGCTTACCCCTATTTTGTAGAATACTTCTCCTAATAGCAATTTGATATGACATGCCATCAATTTCCACACTCAAAAGACAGCTATAAGAGACATTTGCCCAAAATATGTAAAACATTTTGAGGGTGCTATCTCAACTTTTAACTAATCCTGCATCTGACAGATACCAACACCATTTCACATCATGGAATAATTAAAACAGATAAACTTGGATCTATAAAACAACTGGCTCTATAGATACTACAAAGACAAATCTGTAAATAAAAAATACAGTGAAACATGCTAAACAATAGGCTTCTAGTAGTACTATAAGAATGACGCTACTAAAGCTACAATACCTTCCACATTTCAGAAGAAGCTCTCTCAGATCTAACTGTCCTCATTTTCAAGATCAAACAAGTCCTGGACATGACACACTCACAAAGTAAGATTTTATATTCTATTACCAAACCATATTTTTCTCAAACACTTCTATCACCATGCTAGATCAACGAATGGTACTAATAAGAAAAGGGATAGCCATCAGTGGCTAGAGAAATTAAATTAAAAAAATTACCTTGCTTATTGTAAGGGCAATGATGCAGGCTGTTGATGAACCCTTGGCTTTCAAGCTTGAGTGGGCCTTCTCCAACACCCTTGCAACATCAATTTCACCCTTGGGGACGCATTGCTTCTGAAGACCCATCGATACTCAAAGGCTGAGGCCCAAAATGAACCAAAGATTGATAACTATCATGATTATCATCTAGGGTTTCAGTATCTTCCATTGATGAAGAAGACCGATCAAGGGTTTTTGAAGTAGAAGGGGCTATACCTGAAATTGGTGAAGAACCATCTCGATTTGAAGATAAAGAAACCAAAGAATGGCCATTTAGGGTTTCTTTATGCGGTGACCGATGAAGATTTTGAGAAGGACCAGAGTCAGGTTCTAGGATTTCGATCAAAAGGGTATTCATTGAGTAAGAGAAAATTGATATTGAGAATGGATTCAAAGAGAACGATAAGAAAGAAGAATTGGAAATTTCTTTTCGGGCTTGTATTTACTGAAGTTAGGAACAGAACCTTGGTGACGATCTAGATGCCATTTCAGTGCACAGGCTCGATATCTACAATCAAGAAGAAGGAGATCAGACAAAAGAGGAAAACAGCTTCCCATTGACAATAGTGATAGTTGGAAAGAAAATAATAATACAAAGGATAACAACGAAAAAAAATACCAAAAAGCAAACAGAATAATCTAGAGGACCAGCGTTGATTTAGAATGAATCAACGTTGTGGGGAGCTTTTGCACTTCAGTGTAAGAGCGGGAAAGAGAGATTTTGGGCAGAAGAGAGGGAAAATTTTGTGGGTGTTTCTGAATACAAATAGGTACTGTGGTTTTTGGGCGGAAGAAATTGGTTTTTTATTTTATTGTATATTGTAGGGTATGTTTGATTTATTATTTTGATGCTTTTTAGAATAATATTTTGTAAAAAGTTAAATTAGACGGGTATTATGATATAAGATTTAAAAATTAATAAAAATATTCTTTATGTTTATTTATTTACTAAACACCCCTATAATAAAATATTAAAAGTTAACAAAAAGCACCTCCAACCCACCTATTAAATACGGACAGCCGACCACCACCGCCGGAGGGTTGTTGGGGTGTTTTTACAATTTCTAAGAAAATTATTTAGGGTGTTTAGTTAAATTAATAAATTTAAAGGGGTTTAAAAGAAATTGAATAATATAGAATAATATTTTGAGAATAAGTCAATTTTACTATTTAACTTTATTGAGAATACTAATAATATTATTCCCAAGAGTGTAACAAACGGATTAATATTTTATAACCTTAAACCTGTCTTAATGAAAAATGGGTGGAAAATTCTGCCTTAAACTTTTGATGGGTGGGAAACTTTTGACTTAGCAAAATTTTTAATTTTTGTTTTTCCAATTTAATCCTTGACAGTTAAAAACTGTCAAAGATTGATGCTTCGTTTAGTTCACGTATTCTAGTTTTCCCAAAAAAGTTAACTTTGGTTCACCTATTTTCAAAATATAATGCTAAATTATTCAATTTCTTTTAAACCCCCTAAATTTGTTAATTTAACTAAACAACCCCCCAAAAAATTTTAAAAATTGACAAAAACACCATAGCAACCCAAATTTACCAGATTTCGGCCACCACTATCAGAAGCTGGCCAGAATCTGGTGTAATGGTGCACTATCGGCTGAATCTTGCTGGTAGTGCGCCGATCTAGCCTTTTCCGGCCAAAGACGGCCAGATATTTGGCCATAGACAGTCATCAACGACGGCCAATATATGGTCGTCGTTGACCATCAACGACAGCCATATCTTTGACCGTCGTTGATGACCAAATGCGGCCAGATCTAACCATCAATGGCCAAATCTAGTCGCGGATCTGGCCTTTTCCGGCCAGATCCACGGTGGATCTTGTTAGAAAATGTCATATCGACGCATGACCGGCAAGATCGAGCCGGTCATACGCCGATACGGCAACTCCGACCACCCTCTGGCGGTGGTGGCCGGCTGTTCGTATTTATGAGTGGATTGGGGCTGTTTTTGTTAATTTTAAATATTTTATTATATGGGTGTTTAGAAAATAAATAAACATAGTGGGTATTTATGTTAATTTTCAAAATTCTACATCGTAATACCCACCCAATTTAACTTTTTTCAAAAGATTATTCTAAAATCTACCCAATAATGAACCAAACAGAGTCTGAGACTATAATTGTCAAGAATTTTTTTTTATAATTTATTTTTTACCAAATCCTTGACAGTTATTAACTGTCAAGAATTATCCAAAATGGTGAAAGATTATTTCAAATTCTTGACAATTCATAAACTGTCAAGAATTTTAAGAATTTGTCAAGAATTAAAATTCTTGATAGTTTTTTAGAACGTTCAAGAAAATATATCAACTCATTTTGTCAAGAAAAGGTGTTTTTCTAGTGGTGGTATCACATTTTTATGACGTGAATACCCGAATCCACTGTTTAAAGAACTGAACTGTATCGGTTGGTAGGAGCGATCAGACCAGAATCAGGTACCTTTAACGGTCTGGTTCTCTCTGAAAATCGGAATACACATCAACCTGGTTTGGAAAGTTATATAGAAGTTTTAATATAGGCATTTGTACAACATTCCCGATAAAATTGAGGAAGATCAATCAACAACTCATGATGCATATCAAGCCAATAATTCAAGTAAATTTAGTTTTCATATTGATGCGGAAGTTAATAAACAAGAAAAACTTCGTAAGGTAGATGTGGAACTAGAGGTTGTTCAATTTATGGAGCCAAGTAGTAGAGTTAGTGATAATAAAATATCATGCTGCTCAAATTTATATGTTATTATAGGAAATGTCAAAGGTTAGGTATGTACAAATTTATTGGAGATTATATAATTCAAAGAATTTGACAAGTATTTATTTCTTTGACAGGTTTTTTTGATTAATTTCTTATTATTAAGGATTGCTGCTAATATAATTTTAATTAAAAACAGTAACTATATTACTAATTTTGGTAGAATAATGTACTAATATATATATATATATATATATATATATAGTGGCAAGATTCGTTAGATGCGTAATTGTTAAAAAAAATGCATTTTGTTTGCTATGTCTTTAATATTTAATATAACAATAATAAAAAAATAATAAAAAAATTCTATCAGATTAAGTTTTCTATATGTTTTTTTAGAGGTGTGCTAGCAATAGTCGTGCCTGAGACAAGTGCTACACACCTTTTTATTTTACTGAAATAAAAAGATAGATTTATTACATTTGGCAACTGGTACGAGAACGTGCAGCAACTGTCACAGACACGATTATTGTTAACATGCCTCTCTCTTTTATACAAATCTGTTTATTATTACCCAGTTTGAAACAATATGAAACTTTATAAGAAATTTAGAATTTAACCGAGAAGTGTAAACACTAAAAATAGAATTAAAAAAAAAAAATGGTGGTTTACATAAATTACCCTAAATGGATGAAAATGTTTATTATTCTTTAAATCAACCAACTTAAGAGTAAAATAGAAATAATACAATTTTTAGTATAATAAAAATTTGAACCAGAAAAAGAGGGAATAAAATTTACCGTTAAAATGCACAATTATGATTCAATGATTGTGTCGTGAAATGTTTAACTTTTGAACATTAAATGCACCTGCCCACTTCTTTTTTTCACTTCTATAAAATTAATTTATTTCCATCATAGCTTAGATTGAACCTAATAGAGCCGCGTGTAAATATATTTTACCTTGTTGGTTTAGGCTTCGTCTGATTCATTTTTTAGAATAACATTTTATTTTTAATAAGATTTTTGGAAAATATGATAAGATTTGATAATGTTTTTGGCACATTTTTATAAAATAATTTCGATTTTTGGAAAATATGATAAGATTTGATAATGTTTTTGGCACATTTTTATAAAATAATTTCTGAAAATATTTAGATTATTTTTAACCTCATAGATTTGTTAATTTAACTAAACAACCTCCACAACAAAAGTTTATAAATTGATAAAAATACCTCCACACACCTAACTATTGTTGGAAGCCAGCCACCACCGACGGATGGTTGCCAGAAGCCACTGGGATGACACATGACCAATTGAATTTGACCGATCGTACTTTGATCTGGCCTTTTTCGGCCAAATGCACCGTGTATCTGGTTGGAAACAACTAGATTTACGGTCACAGATCTGGCCATTGTTTGGCTGTCAATGATAGCCAAGATATGACCATTGTCAACGGACAGATTGGCGCACGAGTGGCCAGATCTAGCCGATCGTGCGTCATTATGATGTCGATAGTCGATGGTGGCAGCAGTGGTGGCGACTTGCGGGCGATAGTGGCTTGGGTGGGTGGGTGGGTGGGAGTGTTTTTGTTAATTTTAAAACTTTTATTGAGAAAGGTAATTGTTAATATTTTGAGTTGAATAAAATAAGATTAGCTTTTGAAGAATATTAAAACAAATGCATTTTTCATTTTTTAGGATATGATAGTAGAATATGATAGTGTAAAAATAGTGTGTCAAACACAAGGCTAAACTTAGTTAAAAAAAAATACGAAGAAGGTCATACAAAGTGACGTGACTAAAGGTGGAAAAGTAACCCGCCTAGCCCTGCCTGTGGCGGGTTAAGCAAAATTGCGGGCTGGGCCTAACCCTATAATACCCACATCAAGATATGTAATTTTATTTATGCCCTAATACCTTTAGTTGGATTTTTTTGAAGTTACCTTAGACAAATGTGAAGGAAATTCCTTACAACTTCATTAAGGGTAAAATGGTCTTTTCACTCATAACTAGATGAAAAAGTGGGGAGTGAAAGGAAGCAAAATAATGTGAAGAAGATAATAAAAATGAGGGTATGTTGGTAATTGACTAAAGGATATAGATGAGATTTCATAGAAAGTGCAAGGGCAAAATGGGAATATATGCATATAATATTAGATATAACGTTTCATTGAAGAAACCCTAGCCATATTTCAGCCCTTGTACACGCCACCCTTACCCTTTTTTCTCTCAATTTTCTTCACTAAATTTCAAAGGGAAATCATAGGATTTGGCTTGGATTTTTATAGATTTTCAATCCTAAAGCATCCAAAGGTAAGATTCTAGCACAAGGAGTGTGATTAAACTTTAAAGTTTTAAATTCTTATGGTTTTTATATGATCTAGGTCCAAGAGGAAGAGACTTTTAGCAAAAGAAAGTTATATCACACATTCAAGGTAAGTAAACCTAATTTTAGCCTTGATTTGAGCAGGACTTGTGTTGAATGAATTTTTGCATGTTTGTATATGATGGTATGAGAGAATTATTGGCTGTTTTTTTATGTGTAATGATACATAATTTCCAGCCATGGGAAGTAGTGTATGATTATGTGATGATTTGGCGAAGTTATGGAAGAATTAGTGTTGAAACTTTTGAAGCGTTGAGAATTGTTGAAAATGGACAGGTTTGATGCTATAATTAGTGAGTTTTTGCTCAAATTTTTGTGGATTTAGATAGTTGTGGAAGTGTAGCCAACATGGTAGATGCAAGTGCTTGTGAAGTGTTTGATGAAAATGCAAAGAGAAAATGCATGCATGAGTTGGCTAAACCCTAATGAAGAAAGGGTTAGAGAAAGGCAAGAATTGAAGTAGAAAAATTATGAATGGGCTTAACCAAGTGTAAATGTTAGTATTCAAGAGTGCATATTGTTATGCCAAAATTGAATATATCACTTGGTCATGTTAGTTCCATGAGAGAAATTGCCCTTAGTGCTTGGTTCTAGTTACTTGAACCTTTACTACTTCTTGAAATGCACATGGAAGTGTTAGAGA